TATTATCACTGTTTCATGTTATGAAATTCAAAATTGGAGAATGCTGAGGTCACGGAAAGTTAGCTAGATGAAAGGACATTAAAAATGAATGGATCACCCGCCCCCCTAACCCTGCACCCAACGTTCTTGTTGGATGATGTTTTTATATGTACTAACACATGATATTCATTCAATATTAACCGCTATATCTAAATAAGGATTGAGCGAACAATTCGATCGACAGCATGATCATTTGATTTCAGATAAATTGAAAAGTTATGTTTGCGTATGAAAAAAATTGAAGATAATTACGAATTGTTGATTTTCGGTTGGTGACCTTCGTTCAGATCTGTCTTGTTTTACACTTCACAAGCATTCCACACTAAGTATTAGAGAATTTATTCAAATTTTTAAAAAAATTTCATCATATTAAATCATGCTTGTGAGTGTATGTTGTACTTGGCGAGTTAACAATTTTCGAACGAACCAATCATCTTTGAGATAAACTCTTGGATTCTGATGCAAAATTTATTTATTCATATAGCATGTTAGCATTGATAGCTTGTGTCGATTCATGACAAAAACTCCTAAACTTAACATTCAATTCTAAATCCTATTGCCAATTCCTCACACCGATTGACAACTCAGGTAAGTAGATGGATATTCACATGGTCACTTTAGTATCATCATCCAAAGGACATTTTACAAGCTATATTCTGTTAGGATATTCACCAAATATCCTAAGAGTACTATTTTTGGAAGTATAATCCTATTGGTCGATTTCTATTGGTCGTTTTAACTGTCAAAGTCAAATACTTCAATATTGTCTCTTATTGGTCATCCAGACTGTCAATGTCATTTCAAATGTTCTTTCTTATTGGTCGTCCTAAAACTGTCAATGCTACAGACTTCGATGCTGTTTTCTATTCGACCTAAATGTATAAATACGCACTATCTGTAAGACTTCATGATTCCGATTCCGTTTCTTCCTGCCTACCTCTCTTGTGTACTCGACCCAATAAGCAACTCCATCCAACGGTGTTGCGTTTTGATATATAGGAGATTTGGGTCGCATTGGAATATTTGAATTCGGACGTCGGTAGGATTTGAATAGCTACGTAGCAGCATTTGCAACATAATCTCACCCTGTAATTATAATTATCTTGTAAATTGATTATAAATAAACCATTCTGGCCAAATTTCATTCAAGAAAATGTTAAGTTTTGAACACGAACACAAAAGCCATCAAAACATACACTTAATATTTTCGTTTCTTTTCCATCATTATTTAGTTGTATATTCGATGTAGGAACAATTTTCATTGATAACGGATTATCTGATTTGTATTCTATGAAGGAAAAGATTGATAAAATGAAAAATGTGAAAATTCAGTTGTTGTTTTTTGTTTTACCTTGATTGATGGATTCACCATTTAACCTTATCAATTCAGGGGAATTTGATAATCTTCTAGAATTTTCTCGTCCTCTGAGAAGAAAAAAGATTGAAAAGAAAACAATTTGCATCACGGGGTTGTTGTGAAAATTGTTAAGTTTTATCGGAAGCCATGAATCGATCAATGTTAGACCACCATTAGAAACCTGGAAGCACTGGACGGCCGTTTCGTCCTGGTATCGGACTCCTCAGCAGCGCGCATTCACGATTCCTGCACTCCGAAGGATTCGAACCCAGGACCTTCGGTATTGTAGGCGAACTCCTAACCATCGGACCAACTCCGTGAATTGACCGAGTTAGACATTAAAACCGTTAGATACCGCCTCAGTGGTCCGATGGTTAGGCGTTCGCCTACACTACCGAAGGTCCTGGGTTCGAATCCTGCGGGGTGCAGGAATCGTGGATGCGCACTGCTGATGAGTCCCATACTAGGACGAAACGGCCGTCCAGTGCTTCCAGGTTTCTAATGGTGGTCTAACAATGATCGATTCATGGTTTCAAATAAAAAACAATTTATCGATAGATAATTAACACTTTTTTTTCCAGTAGTGCAATGATATGAATCAAAAAAGTTATTTTTTACGGTAGACATCAATGATAAATGAATTAACGTGTTTTAAAATAACACAGAATAAAATGTTAGTTAGATAAATTGAAAGTCTGAGAGAAATCCATTGGAAAATGATGATGTTCACTAGAATATTTTGTTCTCATTTGTATGTACTTTGCAACTAATCGATGATAAACAAAAACTGACAGAGAAACATGAATGAATGCAAGAATGAAATGAATAATGTTTATCTCAATATGTTACTTGATTGGATTGTTCGGTTTGAGACTGCTACGTATGTCACACTTTTATTTCAATAAAAACGTTTTTCTGAAAAACCAACATCATAAGTTGAATGCTACATTCACTTCACTTTTGATCACGTTAACTCATACACCAGTTTATATGTAGCGATATCTGAGCATTTTTCAGCTTATCTGGTGACTGAATAAGTGTATTATTAGAAAACACGATTTTCAAAACAAATTTCATTCTAATCATCTTTATATGTCCTCTGAGAACAAGCCATTGTGACGCATCTTAAGTTGCAAGATGAAAAAACAGACAAAATGGACGTTATTTTTTGAAATGAAATCTTTAAAAGTAGTTTATACTCGAATATGCAGCTCTCATAGACTAAATGAACGGAGAAATGCCTTAAAATGATTGACACTACACCATTGAAGAATGGATGAGCCAAAAATTCAAGGACACGTATTCTATCTCTGTAAAAAGCCGCTGGTTACCAGGGGGTTGCATGTTCTACCGTTGGGACAAATTTTGATATTAAGGGTCTGTATTAGGACTCATACTATATCATGGTATGTTACAAAAACGTTTTTAATTCAGTAGCTGAAATATCATTTACTTATGCAATCATCAGCACTAATATTTCTACGTTGTTAATCAGGAGATTGTAAGTATGCAGTTTTTTCACACATCTATTATAACCGGGGATTATTTACGTGACCGAATGCCTAATAAAGGCTCCAGGTGTTTGTGTCCCTTAAGATCGGAATTTTAACTTACTGAGTTTCATATATATGGAAACAGTTGTTTGCAAATTCAAATTAATTTGTTTCAAGATTAGTTTGAAAATTTAACCTAGACTGCATATCATAATGTGTTATGTACTACTTACGTCGAGGCCTGTAAGTAGTATGCAGTGAGTGTGCGGCACAGTATCGCCCTAGAGTTATGGTCGAAGATGGAAATGTCGGAATAGAATAATAGAATAATGGCGTTACCTGGATGTTTTGAGTAATATAAAACTTGTCGAAGGAGACAGCTTATTTTGAAGATGAATGTTTTATGATCGGATGCGTAGAGGTTAATTCCGCAATACATTTTCAAAATTCAATGTATCGTCCCGTTTACGGTGTACTTTTGCTGGTTAATTCTCCTAGTAATATTACAAATTTATTCCAGAATATTAAAAAAACCATAACAACAGTTATTGGGGTTAGTGTATATTGTAAACGATTGGTGAAATGTTTAATACCCAGGAGAACCGAGCACACCACAGAGTGAGTAAGTTGATGAATAATAAGCGAGGAGCAGGTTTGTTTACTTTACGAGCGTTAATCAATATGTGGATAAAGTTATTGGCTGTCAGTGTTCACAACCAATTAGTGAATAAGTAAAGAACTGAGGTGCATACATGCGCTCAATTTTACTGACACAAAATGGATCAAATAAAAGTATGACAAGTTTTTTTTGTATTGCAAATAAATTAGAAAGGCTTGCTGTGTGTTTAGCTGTAATTCTGAAGGTCAGTTCAGTTGATAAAATTACTAACTTCAAAGTATTGGCAACATTTGATTACTCTCATCGTACTCAGTCATTTATTTATTCACAATAACTTCAGACAATTTGGTTGATAAACTTCAACAGACTGACAGATACAACGCAGAACTTCGTACGTAAGTACATCAGTTCAGGTTGCCATACCACATTAGCAAAGAGATGCAACTGTCAGTTCAAGTATTACTGGTAATGGAGAAAATTAGGGTTCGAAGATATTATTCAAGAAGTATAATTCAGTGAGATAAATTTAGAAGGAGAAAGATAGAGATTATGAGGGATTCAGAAGGTTAGAATTAGAGAGAACACAAAGATTGGATGCACCTGCACCATGGCAAACGATTTTGAGCCATATCGTTCAAGGTCTCTAACCATCGGTGACTTTCGTCTCGCGGACCCCAACCAGGTAGTCTACATCCACCAAAATGACTTAGTCCACTTGTCAGTGACTTCATGGATTCCTGCCATAATTTGGTCTGGCCGCCCCTAGCTCTCTTCCAACCTACTCCTACACCACAAAACATAGCTCGTCGCGGCAGTCCGTGGTTAGGCATACGTAACTTCGACTGCACAACGACCTTAGTTTGATGATAATGCTCTCGTAATGGGAAAATATTTTCCAGTACGAAAAAGTCCATGAAATCAGTAAAACTTGCAAATATACTTACTCTTGATTATGGTATATAAGGACAACAAGTTAATTTGTGTTTAATTAAGTAAAATTAGGTATCCTAAATAATTTTCTCTTTACTAATAAGTCTGCTGAATGAACGCAAAATCTAGTTTCCTATCTGCTTCTCATTAGAAGCAGAATAAATCTACATTGAAAGTTGAACACAAGAAAAAAAGCATGAATGCCTTATTCGAAGGTGTTAAAATGTACAGAGAACCCATGTATATTCAAAGTTCTTCGTATAGTTAGAATCATCCATTCCACAAAGAGCGATATTGTACTATCACCTAATCACCTCATGCTGCGTGATTGAATGGAAACTCTTTGGCATCTTTGGAGCCCCTAGAGACTTCTATAGGCCATCCCAACATTTACATTACGTTGAATGAGCTTAAACAGTTTACACATTCAACTATACAATATTATTTAACCTTAAACTGTGTATTGAGAAGGATAATATCAATCAAAAACACATGTGAAATTCACGTATCGATCTACAGTAACCAACAATGTAAATCAATGTAAAAACAGAATGCGATTTACGTTTTCTTTTCAGTTGAATTTTTATGAGAGAATGATTTAGATTTTGTCGGTGCACCTGGTGGATTTCCATCTACCATTGGATGTTTCTTTTTAATCAATGACTGATTTGAACGTTGAGATTTATTCAGATTGGAATTTCGATGATTTTGTCCAGTTACCTGTTGGACAGGATGTGATGATGGTTTGTTTTGATCTAATATTGTAAAACAAATACACAAAATGGATAGTATGATGTAATGGTGACACTACAAAACCACCCATTAAATCAAACTTTACATATTGAAGTCTGTGACATTGATAGTTAAGATGACCGATACGAAACAACATTTGGAGTGACATTGATGTCTAGGACGACCATGAAATTGACCAGTAGGAATTAACCAATAATTGTCTTCGGATATTGGATGAATATCCTAACACTAACTTACATAATTTTTTCAATTCGATTTATGGAGATTAGTGTTTTTACACATTTGAAATCATCAACCAATCATCGTTAGACCACCATTAGAAACCTGGAAGCACCGGACGGCCGTTTCGTCCTGATATGAGACTCATCAGCAGTACGCATCCACGACTCCTACACCCCGAAGGATTCGAACCCGGGGCCTTCGGTACTGTGTACGAACGCCTAACCACTGAACCAATGGGCCAGATAGATCCATGATTTAAATAAAACTCAACAATTTCCACCACACTCTGTACAGACAATCCCATTTCAGACAACAGACTTATTTATGCAACCGTATCATGAAATACAGAAAAAACGTACAAAGTTTGTCGAAGAAACTGACCTCTATAGATAGATGAATATGGATACCTTGTGTTGATAAAAATAACACATAAATCCTGGTTATAGGTGTTTTTCTAGAGCCAATCTACTGTCTTAGTCGTTGTTGATAAATTAGATCAAATAAAATTATCACTGTGCACAAAAACTTGGCAAATTATTTACAGTTTGAAAAATGTGTAAAGAAATTGTTCAAAAGTTGGTTACACTTGACGAAAAGGCTAAAACGAACAGAATACTACAACGACCGGAGAAACTCTCAAATTTTCAATTCTCTTGGAAGGGTCACCAATGGTGCTGAATCGTAGTTCCAAGAGTAACATTTAAATGCAATATTTTTAAAGTTTTCACGACCTCAATTCGTGAGTCAAC